TGGACAAAAAAAAAATCATAACCAAAATTTTTCATTTTAGGAAAATGATTTAAGCATTTAAAAGCTGATGAATCCCAGCCGTGGTTTTTCTTTTATCCATTTCCTTATTTCATTTCTATACATTGTGAGAGAATTAATTTCTTTAATTGAGTTTGGTACGAAGGCGCTGAAGGGCCACCTATACTTTTTTTTTCGAATCCCGACTTTAAAGTCGGACCCCCGACTTTAAAGTCGGGGGTCCGAGATTAAAGTCGGGGGTCCGACTTCAAAGTCGGGGGTCCGACTTTAAAGTCGGGGGTCCGAGATTAAAGTCGGGGGTCCGACTTTGAAGTCGGGGGTCCGAGATTAAAGTCGGGGGTCCGACTTTAAAGTCGGGGGTCCGAGATTAAAGTCGGGGGTCCGACTTTAAAGTCGGGGGTCCGAGATTAGTCGGGGGTCCGAGATTGAAGTCGGGGGTTCGAGATTAAAGTCGGGGGTCCAAGATTGAAGTCGGGGGTCCGACTTTAAAGTCGGGGGTCCGAGATTAAAGTCGGACCCCCTTCATGGATAAGTCCGAAACGGGTGTTCTCAGACCCATTCTGAATTCGTCTTTCTTAGCTCTATCCAAGAATGAAATTAAATTGTTTATACGTCCATGGAATGATCGGTTTGCAAAATACGTCATCACTTTTGTTTAATTCGAATATTCTTAATATTGACAAAATATCAATATAACATATATAAATAGTTAATTCATAATGAAAACTGCGCATTGAAAACTTGATTCTCAACGTTTTCATAAGGCTTTGAAATTTGGCTATTTATTGAAGAAGATTATGAAAATAGTCCGGAAGGGGTGATCTCATACCTACAAATGTAATCATATATCATTGAACTCATCTTTCTGAGCTCTACCCAAGGACGGAATGACATTCAGGGTAGTTCATTTGTGAAAATATATGTTTCGTATTGTAATCTTTTTGCACCCTTTGAACAAACAAATGAGATTCTTAGCTATTAAGTATAATATAAACAATCACCCTATATATACGTACGATAATGATCGTACAGGTGTGATCCATTATTTGACATTCAGTGTATACATCCAAAAAGAAGGATTTTGACTGATCCTCATGTGATGATTATCCAATGGATGTAAAATTATTGTTTGTACATAAATGTACAGGGTGTTTCTCGAGTACATGTAGAAATTTCAGGAGTATGTTGCTGACGTCAAACTGATGAGTAACAATGGAAATTATTTATTTCTGTCCACATATTTAACGAATATAATCTAGCTCCTAACTTCAGTTCCGAACTCCCGACTTTAATCTCGGACCCCCGACTTTAATCTCGGACCCCCGACTTTAAAGTCGGACCCCTGACTTTAATCTCAGACCCCCGACTTTAAAGTCGGACCCCCGACTTTAATCTCGGACCCCCGACTTTAATCTCGGACCCCCGACTTTAAAGTCGGACCCCCGACTTTGAAGTCGGGGGTCTGAGATTAAAGTCGGGGGTCCGAGATTAAAGTCGGGGGTCCGACTTTAAAGTCGGGGGTCCGAGATTGAAGTCGAGGGTCCGAGATTAAAGTCGGGGGTCCGAGATTAAAGTCGGGAGTTCGGAACTGAAGTTAGGAGCTAGATTATATTCGTTAAATATATGGACAGAAATAAATAATTTCCATTGTTACTCATCAGTTTGACGTCAGCAACATTCTCCTGAATTTTCTACATGTACTCGAGAAACACCCTGTTCATTTATGTACAAACAATAATTTTACATCCATTGGATAATCATCACATAAGGATCAGTCAAATCCTCCTTTTTGGATGTATACTGAATGTCAAATAATGGATCACACCTGTACGATCATTATCGTACGTATAGGGTGATTGTTTATATTCCACTTAATAGCTGAGAATCTCATTTGTTTGTTCAAAGGGTGCAAAAAGATTACAATACAAAACATATATTTTCACAAATGAACTATCCTGAATGTCATTCCGTCCTTGGGTAGTGCTCAGAAAGATGAGTTCAATGAAATATGATTACATTTGTATAGGTATGAGTTAACCCTTCCGGACTATTTTCATAATCTTCTTCAATAAATAGCCAAATTTCAAAGCCTTATGAAAACGTTGAGAATCAAGTTTTCAATGCGCAGTTTTCATTATGAATTAACTAATTATACAGGGTGATTCACGGTGGATGGCATATTAGAAGTATCTGGAGAACTAAAAGACAGAACATTCTGAAAATTAGGATGCTCCGATAAATGAACATTCTCTATTCGTCTAAAATACTTTCATCGAGACAGTGTTGCCACTTCTATCAGAAACAGTTAGCAACTTTGTTATTTCAAATGGAACACCCTGTATTCTATTACATTTTCAGATTCTTCCTGAACAGCTGATTTCATCAATGTATCACACTTGGGTTCTAGCAGGAATGATTACAGAGATATAGGGTGTTCAAAATCAGGATTTTTCAATGTTAAGATTTTTTTGTGTCGAAAGATCAAAACGGTTCACTCTTAACTTCGAATTCACTGTCTACTGACATTTAATTGGAACAGATACAGGGTGATCAGAATCCTGAATCTTGAAGCACCCTGTATTTTTGACATTGATGAAATCAGCTCTTCAGGAAGAATATGAAAATGCAATAAAATACAGGGTGTTCCATTAGGAATAATAAAGTTGCTGGTTGTTTCTAATAGAAGTGGCAACACTGTATCGATGAACATATTTCAAACGGATAGAGAATGTTCAATTATCAAAGGATCCCAATTTTCAGAATGTTCTGTCTTTTCGTTCTCCAGATACTTCTAATAGGCCATCCACCGTGGATCACCCTGTATATGTTATATTGATATTTTGTGATGACTCATTTTGCTCATTCGATCATTTTCTGGGAATTTTCGAGATTAAAGTCGGACCCCCGACTTTAATCTTGGACCCCCGACTTTAAAGTCGGACCCCCGACTTTAATCTCGGACTCCCGACTTCAAAGTCGGACCCCCGACTTCAATCTCGGACCCCCGACTTTAAAGTCGGACCCCCGACTTTAATCTCGGACCCCCGACTTTAATCTCGGACCCCCGACTTTAAAGTCGGACCCCCGACTTTAATCTCGGACCCCCGACTTTAATCTCGGACCCCCGACTTTAAAGTCGGACCCCCGACTTTAAAGTCGGGATTCAAAAAAAAAGTATAGGTGGCCCTTCAGCGCCTTCGTAGTTTGGTATAAAATTGAATATTTCTGGGCATAGGAAAGTAAATGATCTATTTGCGACGCTCTTCTTGATATTTGGTAATCTCACTGAATTCATTCTATGCCCTGTATTGTGTTCATGTTCGATGTACTACCTTATTAATAAAGATTGACAGAATAACTGGTGGATATCAACTCAAATAAATATGTGAAGTAATCACCAATGCTTTGCCATATACAGCGTGTCCCATTTCAAACAGCCCCCCCCTCTATATCTCAGCTATCAGTCGTGCGATCTTTACCAAATTTGTATCGGTATGAATAATCATCAATATGACCAGTTCTTCAAAGACAAGCATCAATTTAAACAGTGCCGTGCATTTTTATTGAAATGAATAGGGGTCAGTTTTTTATTGAATCATATTAGACATTTTTCCACAGGAAAACTGACCTCATAATATTATTCTTCATGGTTTCTAACCCACATAATGTGGATTTTCATAAGATGCCTATGAAGGGTTGCTGAAAAACAGGCACATCTAAACAGCATCTTTGCGGACATAATAGTTATTTACTCGGAAACGGTGAGTTCAACATAAAAAAGTATGACCCGTTTTTCCTCCCAAATCATGATTTTCCACCTACCGGAGCCATTAAACGTTCCAGAATTCGTAGTTGGTTGGAAGTCACTATTTATGCGAGACTGAACATGAAAAAAATGAAGCCAATCCTGTTAATTCGGAATTAGGTGATTTTTTGCATATGGAGGTTCGAAAGCATGAGGAACCATAATACGGGGTTAGATTTCCTGTAAAAAAAATGCCTAATATGATTTTATGAAAACTCGACACCTTTTTATTTCAATAAAAACTCACGGCAGTGTTCAAATTAATGTGCATCTCTGTGAAACTGATTATATTGATATGGTTATTCATACCACACCAAATTTGGTTGGAATCGCATGACTAATAACTGAGATATAGAGGGGGGGGCCGTTTAAAGTTAGACACGCTGTATATGCAATGCAACAAATAATCCGTGTGGTGAGAATATCATACCTGCATTAATAGCAGGTTTATTCAATTTTCAAGGATGTTGGGATTGTAGTTTCGATATGAATACAACCACAGAGTGACATAATTGTGTATGGACCAGGTGCTGTAATGGCAAATACCGTGCCAGTGCTAGGTATAGGAACAAGACGTGGAAAATGTTAGATTAATGAGTATATCAACAATAATAATAGCGATTATTTATTTCTCTCCATACTCCACTGTGTCTCTCTCGATAAACAATATCGTTGTTTGAGACCAAAAACTATTGCTGGCCGTGATTATTCAAAAACAAGTTTTCCATCCCGAGAATAACGAATGAAATATAGATCAAGCAAGTATGTTAATCATGAAGGCTTCTCTGATCAAAACAAAAATACTTAACAATAATAAATCGGAAACAAATCAGGTATGCGTCCAAACCCAAATAAAAAAAAAACAACAGTAACAATGTTGTTTATTCTTGATAACCTCTAGTACATCCTTCTCAGTTCCTAGGAGCTAAAGTTCAACTTCCGCCTCTAGGAGCTAAAGTTCAACTTTAGCTCCTATAGGAACTAAATGCGTTGCCTAGCAACATACCTATTCTTGTGTCAGTAATAGAAACTTCAATTCAAGAGCTAATTTTGGTATCAAAATTCACGACTTTTGTGTCGGTTGCAGAAAAAAATTATTTAGGTCTCTAACGTCACAGTCCAGTAGCCAATTATTTTGATTGCTCGCTTTTAGTTTTGAATACCCTCTTTCTTGTACGTTGCACATAAATTTTCGCTACCCCGGACGTCCACTCTTCTCGATGCTTGACCATTATGTGCTTCCTCAAATTGCCTCTGAGCTTGGCTTTGTAAGGACAGAACATGCAAGTGAACTGCGGCTCCTTCTGGCATTCGAATCTTTCGTGTTTCCTCAGCGACCTCGAGTGTTTGTAACTTTTCCTGCATATTCCGCATTGGAAAGGGCCTGAAAAAGACGATCCAATCATGGTGAACATCTAGAAAGTGGCATAGTGAGGGCAGTAAGGCATCCGTGACCAGTTGTAGAACAACCAAAGCATAGAACACTTAATGAAGAAACATTGTACATTGAACTCATTTTGGGATGTGACTGGTGTATACACAGAAGTGCACAAAAAACGGCCAGGACTGTAACTTTTGAATACTGCGAGATATGGTTTTGAGAATTGGTGGGCAGCTAGTATACTGAATTGCTCATTAATTGACAAAACAATTCTTGTCATATCACTTCCGGTTTTACTGGAAACAATCCCAATTCTTGATTTTTGAATGGCACAACCTTTATTGTATTCCATAATCGGTTAAGGATTGCCATAGCGAATTCATCAATACCGGGTTTGATCGTTACCACCGATACAACAAGGCCTGCATGCTCCGTGGGTGACGTCACTTAGTGAGGCCTAACCAGCGGCTCGGAGCGACAAGCGCTTATAGCGCTATAAGGCGACCGCGTATTTCGGGCTTCCGGTTAGAAAAGGATGCCAGTCGTCAACTGAGCCCTTCTTCGCACCCCATTCGATTTTATTATGGAAAAACGAAGAACATAAACTTATCGTGAGATTGATCGAAAGAAAATTGTGAAAAATGTATTTTATTTTGATTGACATGCCGTTTGTTACAATTACCTATATTTATCTTGGAGAATACCTATTACCTGAAAAAATAACCAGTGAGTGTTTTCAATTTTCTGTTGTTGGATTTTTCACCCAAGTGGATCGTTACACTTGAAACCGTAATTTTTAAGGGTAAAACTGCATTTATCATGCGATGGCTTTTTTTTGAAAATTTTTTTCGGTACTCACTTATTTTTGTCTGATAAACCGAATTTTATGATGAAAATGTGAACAAACCACTATTAGCGATTATTTTTCATTCCTCTCCATACTACACTGTGTTTGACTTGATTATCTAATGAAGCTAAATAATATCGTTGTTTGAGACAAAAAAAACTATTGCTTGCCGTGATTATTCAAAAACAAGTTATCCATCCCGAGAATAACGGATGAAATACAGATCAAGCAAGTATTTGAATCTTGAAGGCTTTCCTGAGCGAAACAAAAATACTTAACTGAGATGTTTATAATTCCAAAACTTAACTATAACAAGGTGTATTTATATCTCCAGCATTGGTATGAAATGCCAAATCTGCGGAAATCGGAAACAAATCAGGTATGCGTCTCAACCCAAATAACCAACCATCACAATGTTGTTTATTCTTGATGACGTCCAGTACATCGTTTTCAGTTCCTAGGAGCTAAAGTTCAACTTTAACTCCTAGGAACTCAAGTTCAACTTTAGCTCCCAGGAACTAAATATGTTGCCAAGCAACATACCTATTTTTGTGTCAGTATAATAGAAACGTCAATATAAGAGCTAATTTTGACATCAAAATGGACGACTTTTGTGTCGGAAAACATGTCGTACGAGTCCGATCAATATAAAGGGAGTACATGCAGTACTTCGCATTCTCTTTGATAAAAATTAATATAACTTTCTCATAGTATACGGCTCTGACCACATGGTACGTTGTTCTGGGACATCTTGGAATAATTTTTCATTTGCAAGATCGATATAGTCGGAAAACAAATATACACTTTTTATAAAACACATTTATTTAAAACCACACGCATCATCCGAATAGGTGTATACATTACTTTCTATATATATGATCGTAATCAATACTAATGGTGCATAATTATAAATATTATAATTATTCAAATCAACTCTAGTCTCATTGAAAATGTTTCATCGAGGGATATTACCTATATATAGGTATACATATAGTATTACTAATTCGCGAATAATGATCTTATATATCAATTCAGTATATACATATATATTTTATATCAACGTTGTTCATATGAAATCACCTGATATACATCATAGAAAATCCCACCATACATTCTATTGGTTGAATATATACCGAAACATTCGCTTTTCACCATTCAAAATCTTGTGCTTTCTGTTCGTACAGAAACTCTATGTCATGATGAATAGAACCAGGATAGTCCCGGTACATGTATTTGATGAACTCAATCACTCAAAAATGATGAAAGGAAGGAAAAAACTCAATTATATGTAAACATGATCGAACATAAGACAACAAGAATCAGTGATGTTGGATTTTGCTATGAAATATGTGAGCGAGGGCATGGTATAGAACACATTCATGAATTCATTCAGGATAATGACAAACACAATTGGGAATTTGTCAGAGAAAGTGACAGGTATGGTAATCATACAAGTCATTCGAGATGAACATAGATATCGATGTTTTCTGCTGATATATCTATCGATTTAGCATATTTTTCTCGAGGACAAGCGTTTCAATTATTCATTTTTTAAATGAATTTCTATGTAATAATCACTGATTTTAAGAATGTATCTATTTTTTTAGTCGAACAGGTACTGGCACGTTAGAAGCATTCTCGTTTACATCAAAATATAAATGTTCTCCAATCACTGAAAATAGGTCTATAGATCATCAAAGTCTATTCGTCTATTATACGTCAATTTCTCTTTCAGTTTATAATTCTTCAGTTGCATTAGTTGGTGCCAAACTCCAAAGAATCAGCAGAAATATTCAAATTGTTTGGAATCAATTTCTATTTCTCTTCCTCTTAAACTGACGATCATTATTCGATTAGCAGAAGTATCTGAAAAAAATTGAGTAATGATTAAATATTCAAAGTTCCCAGTTGAATGGATTCTACGAATTGTTACTGATGCACCTACATCTACGAATAAATAATATGGAAACTATCTATAATTGAAAATTTTATAATTGAACACAGCAAAGAATAATATGTGATGCATTATTTGTATCAAAAAATGTTTATAATTAACAAAGAACTTTATTATGTCCAGAATTTTTATAATTCTATCAATATATTTTCTTGTCTTCCTTTCATTTGACATTCTCGAGGTGATCGAAGTCATAAAAGGAGTAATTTGGAACAAATTATCTGTATCTCGAAAGCTGTCCATGTCTCAGTAATTATGAAATCACGAAGGCTATCCTGTCAAGCGTGGTAGGTCAAATTTCGAAATACCTCGTATATTAGGAATCTTCAGCAAGGGCAATACCACACTGTTCCGATCACCGACCCATCAGGTAACATCAGTCTATCTCGTTCTTCTAACAATTGTGATGACTCTAGTGCAACAGGTTTGAAAAACTGAATAAAAGACACTCCAGGATATCCTTGTAGATATATTATCATTGTCAAGTGATCTCACATAGCAGTATAGTGTAAATTGCCAGCTGAACTTGACCGAAAAAGTTATGTATAATCCAGGATATTATTCAGTTCATAATATTACACTCAGTTCCCAAAAAAGTGACGCACTTGATATTTGACCTATCTTCATGAAAAAAAAAATAGTGGGCAGATTTTGTTTTCATTTGTTGTTAGGTTATGCATTTGACTTAGAAAAAAAAATAAAGAGGTGAACATTTTTTCAAAGCCTCCTTGATGGTGCTGGAATAACTAGAACCATGATTTATTCTTAATTTTTGACTCACCCTGTGTGTTAATTGGGTAATGGTATACAAAATGCTTGCACCCTATACGAAAGAGGCTTTTTTTGCGAGCATTTTGTTTTTTTATTCATTGATTTCTCTCTGAAATTTTCCAAATAACAACATTTTTGCTGATACCTTACGTTTATCCCACTAATTAAATTTATTAAAGGATCAGAGTACTCAAAATTGATTGGGTTGTACACATTGTCTTTAAAGAAACAAATGCCGTTGCCATAGCAACTAATTTGTTGTATGCCTCCATATTTGACCATTTTTCGTTGTGTCATTAATTAATCGTCTTGTTTTATTGACTAAAATTACCTAAAATGCCTCAAATAAATCCTGAACAAGAAGCAAGATTAGTTGCGTTAGTAAACGATGGGCGTAATAAACGTTCCGCTGCTCGTGCAGTGGGAGTTCACGAAGCAACTGCTCGTAGAGCAATCCGCACGTACGAACAAACAAGAAGCACCGCTCGGAGGGTCGGTTCTGGTCGCCCCCGAAAAACTTCTCCAAGAGATGATCGCTTCTTGAGATTGCGGATTTTACGGAATCAATCAAATACTGCGGTAAATGTTCAGCAAGATCTTCGCCAAATTCGTGATGTTGCAGTAAGTAAGCAGACGGTATGTAGACGTCTAAAAAGAAGTTAATTTAAAAGCTAGGAGACCTGCAAAAGGTCCCAATTTATTGTCCGAACATCGTGCTGCTAGAAGAAATTTAGTTGAAAATTATGGATAGTGGAATATTCCTGAATGGTCGAAGTCTTGTTTACGGATGAGTCAAGGTTTTGCCTTAACATGGTGGATGGAAGGAAAAGAGTGTAAAGAAGAACTGGTGAACGGTTCAATCAAAATTCAAAAACAGAATGCGAAAGTTTTAATGGTGGGTCCGTTATGGTGTGGGGAGGGATTTCAATGAATGGGAAGATACCTCTTCATGTTTTTCCATTGAGGCAGTCGATGAATGCCCAAATTTACATTGACATTCTAGAGCAGTATGTCTTACCTTATGCAGAGTTAGTGGGCAATAATTTTATATTGATGCAGGATAATGCCCGACCACACACTGCGGCAATAGTGCGGAACTTATTAAAAGCTACTGGTATTACCACATTACAATGGCCTGCGAGAAGCCCCGATGTGAATCCTATAGAACATTTGTGGGATGAATTAGGGAGAAGGGTACGTTCTCGCGAGAGGTCTCCTTAAAGTCTCGCAGAAATGGCAGATGCATTAGTGGAAGAATGGGATCGTATACCAATGGAAACGATAAGCAACTAAATTTCCAGTATGCCTCATAGAAAAGAAATTCTTAGAGTTGCTAGAGGAGGCAATTAAGCAGGTATTAAGCAGTCATCCTAATTCATTATTTTATGTTTGATAAAAATGTTTTTTTAAATTATTGGTATCAGTTTATTTCATTAGAAAATTGTTTCTCGAT